AAGACAACAGTTAAAATGGAGTCTTAATCTCTGCAGGGTTTTTTTTTTTAAAAAAAAAAAGGTTTAGGGGTCTAAAAGGGCTTGTATTTACCTAATAAAGTGGTGAAATATGTGGAATACTACAGCTTGGCAAGGGAATTGGTGGTGGTTGCTTTGCTGATTTTGGCTACTCTTGCTGTCAAAGGCTGGATTTTTACCTGTTTTACAGCGTCTCTATTTAGTAGGAAAATTGTTTGAGTTGTTAACGGTTGATTTTTGTTATTTTATGTCTTTTCCTTTAAATATTTGTATGTATATTTATTATTTTATTGAATTTATAAGGTACTCAATAAATTTAAGAATTAATTGTGATGTACGTAAATTTATTCAAATATTTCTAGTTATAAAAAATAAAATAAAATCATTGAAAGGTAATTTGAAACAATTTTAATTACATTTAGTTTACCTAAATCAAGCTTTATATTTAAAGCATTAAATCATGATATTTGAGCATAAATATCATGTGTCCCATGGTGATCCATTCATGAAAAGGTATTTTTTAAGAAAAAGGAAAAGGAAAAAGGAAAGAAAACAAACCATTCTTCCCATAAGGCCATGATTGGATTCCATTTGAGAAAGAATTAAGCATTCTTCCCATAGGGCCATTAAGCATTTAATTAAGTTCCTAAACGGCGGGAGTGGATTTATCTTTTTAAGGGCTTTTTGAAATTCTGTTTATTTAAAACAATATTAAATTAATATTTTCTTAATTATTTTAATATATTGATATTTAAAATAAATAAAAAACGCGCCAAGCTGGATAATAAAACAAGGTGGACAGAGGCAAGCAATTTTTTTTGTCGATAATCTAAACAAGCCGCCTAATTTATGGAAGAACGCGTGGGTATTTCCTTAATGGGACCCAGATGGCATTTGATTAGAATCAGACGGTGGAAAATCAAGATCAAGAAGAAAGGAGAAAGGAGAATTTGGGGACAAAAGTGGAAAGGGGCATGGCTGGATAATGGGGAATGTGGACAGCTCAGAGGAGAGAGAGGGGGGGGTAGGGCCCAGTCAGTCATGAAAGTAGTTCGGAGCCAAGTGGGGGTTTCTGTGACAGGATTATTGAGAAGACAAAGGGTGAAACACAAGTTAAAGTGACTGTCAACGTGGTGTTGATGATGTTTGACTGCGTTTTGGTCCTTTTTGTGTTCGCTTTCCGCAAGGCGTGGTCTTTGGACTCGGTTCCAGCTGTTCAGTATCGTACATTTTACTGTAACCATTAATCATTAAATATTGTTGTCTTGTCACCTTTTTTTTTAAAAAAAAAATCTAGGTTGATGAATTATTCAGTTAATTTGTGGGTTGTCAGGTTAATTAGAATTGTTTTCAATTAAAATGACATTATTTAAAAAAACAAAAAGCATTTAGTGTTAATTAGTGGAACTTCATCGGGTTATTAAAAACTTGGTTGTGTAATTTGAGTTTTAATAGATTAATGTCTTGTAAATGTAGTTTTTAATCCTGGTTCAAAGATTGAACCAACATACATCATGAGTAGATAAATTGATTTAAGTTGAATTAATTAATTAATTTATTTTTGTTGGATAGATAAATTGATTTAAGTTGAATTAATTTATTTATTTTTGTTGAAATATGACCTAACTTAAACCCTAGTTCAAGCCTCAATTTTTTGAGCTGGATCAGTTTTTAAATAGTGATCTTGATTCTATAGTTTTTAACTCTGATTTAAAAATTTATTCCAAATAAGTTATGTTATGAGTTAAGTAGATTGATGTCAATTAATTCAAGGTAATTTAATTTTTTATTTTATAAAAAACTTAAAATAATATTATTTAATAAAAAATTAAAAAAAAATCAATAAATTTTAATTAAATTTAAAGTCATCTTTGATTTTTTACCGGATCACATTGAATTAATTCTTTCTATATTTTTATTAAAACTCAATCCTATCTAAACTCTGAATTACTTGAATCACAAGTTAATTCATCAATCCAAATTAAGTTTTCAAATAATACATGTGTGGTTTAATTGGAAACCTGACTGGCTTGAATCATGTTCATATATTTTAAGTTATTCAAGTCAATATATTACATGTCTCAAGTTTAAAATTTATACACGAATGAAAAATGAAAAATTGATATTTGGCATTTCACAAGGTTTAGGAAGGAAGGGATATTTGATTTGTTTTTCAACAAATTGACAAGAATTTAGTCTATAAAAAATAAGTGATTGATCTTTTTATTATAAAAAATTATTAAATATGTTGTCTGTGCAAGCTATGGGCTGAGAAAAAAAACATTTAACGTAAAATAGCTGCTAGATTTAAAAAACCCAAGCCTTAAGTAAATGGTTTAAATGATAATTTAAATAATATAAAAAAACAACAAAAACAAAATTAACAAAAAAGTACATTAACAGAACCATATATGAGCTTATTTGGATTATTAAATAACTTAATAAAAAAACCATAAAAAAACTTTAAAACAAAAAAGAGATAAAAACATCAAATTGAAAAAAAAAAGAAAAGGAACTAAGAAAACTCAGACCTTTTAAATCTGGTATAATATTAAAAACTTGCAACTTATTGAATTATGAACTTATTTTCAATAAAAAAGCTTAATTGTGAAACATTTTAATTTTAAAGGTAAAATCATTAAAAAAATATTAATAAAAATATTAATAATAAATCAAAGAAAGTAATTTTAAAGGTAAAATCATTAAAAAAAATATTAATAATAAATCAAAGGAGGGTGAAATCATAAAATAAAATCATTTATGATTTAAAATGAAACTTGTCATGACTAGAAAATTCACAAAAAAAAAGAATTAAATTTGACAGGAAAAAGCAAATAAAAATGAAATAGTAAAACAAAATCAATTCAAAAAGATGATTTCAGATAAAAAAATCAAAATCAAAATAATAGGGATAAAATTTTATAAATCATTCATAAAACAAAATCAATTCAAAAAGATGATTCCAGATAAAAAAATCAAAATCAAAATAATAGGGATAAAATTTTATAAATCATTCAAGATAAAAATATCATAATAAAAAAAACAATGAATAATATCTGAAGAACCAATGAATTAAAGTGTTTTTTTTTGAATTTTTAAGGAGTTGATGTGAAAATTTAGACAAGAAAAAAAGAAATTAAGAGGGAAAGAAATGGACGTCAATGCAAAACCATCATGAATCTTGACACACATGTTATCTTCTCTACCTTGGGATACCGAAACTTTTCAAACATCATCCAAGGGAAAGAAATGGACGTCAATGCAAAACTATCATAAATCTTGACACACATGTTATCTTCTAAATTATATAGGAGGCCTTCACATGCTAACTCATGTTATGTATGTATTAGCTTATTTTATAAAATTATATTTAATAAATATAATTTTACAATAATACTCTTGTGCACCCTTGAATTTCCTATCACGTGGCTAAAGACATAATGTTGACCTCCAATAAAATTAGTATGAAGCATATACTCCACAACATAGTCACAAATTAGTGTGACACTAATTTTCTTGTCAATGACTACCTTTTGTATCGGCACCCACTTCCCTCTTCAATTGCTTACAAGCACCAACCTCTTCAGTAAAATTAGTATGGTGCCACAGTTTCCTTAACTGACTCACAGATTATTGGTGCAACACCATCTTTCTCGTCAATGGCTACTTCCTGTAGAGGCATCTATTTTGCTCTCCAACCTCATAGAATTGATATCCATCTACAGGGATATTTGGAAATACAGTAATAGTTGTGGTAAAGTGTTTTTAAAAATATATTAAAATAATAAATTTTTTATTTTTTAAAATTAATTTTAATATTAGCAAATCAAAAGAATCTAAAAATATTTAAAAATTAATCTTTTATAAAAAAAATTAAATTTATAAAAAATACAATTTTAACCGAGTTCGGATCCTTCGTTAAAAGCCATCTAATGTTGCATCACCCAGGCCTGCCCGTCGGTAGTGTATGGTTATTAGATGGGTTTGCTTTTAGCAACAATGGCATCACAGGCCTAGTCCATTTTCATGGACTCCAAATGCTACTCAACTTATTCCTGTTCAACATCTTTTACCTAGGACTTGGTCCGAATGTCTTTTTCTGGGAACAGGGTTTTGGTTTTAAGGCCTACCAAACTTTCTGAGCACGAGCTCTCATCATGCCCGGAATTTGTTCAACTGCGGTCTGTAAATCCAATGACTTCTTTCTTGGTGTTGCCCTCATTCTACTCTCTGAGCAAACTTGGAAGAGGTGAACTTTCCAAGCTTTAGATTCGTTCATCAATGGCGGGGCTGCCTGCATTCCTAGCCCTCTTGACTGAGATCGAAGTATCAGAAAACTTTGAGAAAGTGAGAACTAAGGAAGCATGAACAGTTACCACAGCTGGGATTTGCGAGTGAGAGACATTGGAGAGTAGAGCGGATCTTATTCTTATCTTTCCCAAAGAAAACAAAGTTCGATTCTTTTTTTTCTCCAAATTAATACTTTACTGCTTCAAGTTCATATCTCATCTTGAAAACACCATTGTACTAATTATTACATCAATAATCAACACAAAATAACAATAATTAATCCTATAACAGTTTCTCTAAGCTAACAATGATTAATTCCATAACAATTAAGTTCAATTAAGAAGTTTAAATGAAATTTTACATTTGAAATATTAAGAGATTCAATATATAAAAATAAATCAAATATTAGCTTTTCTGTTTTATTACACTAAAGAGAAAAAATTAGTATTATTTTCTTAAATAATTATTTATCTATTTTTTAATAGATATTTGAAGAAATAAGACCACAGCAATGCAAGTAACCTAAAAAAATAGAATTCTATTTTTTTAATATTTAAATAGAATTTATTTATTAATTGGATTTAAATTAATCAGAAATAGAAAATTTGTTACAAACGGTCTTTAAGCCTTAATTAAAATACAAATTAAAGACAATATGATCCCAAGGGACAAACTTGTCATGTCAGACATAAACTGATCAGGTGATTCCTTCCAGAACACTCATACATTACAACTCACTTGCAACCAAAAATGATTAGAAAAAACACATCCTGAACCCCATCCCATGCAAGTAACCAATAAAATCACCTCAAAGACCCCAAAAAACCCAAAGAAAACTCCTTTATATGCTCCCCTCCACTCCTTCCTCCTCAATTCCCTCTCCCCTTCAGATCCCACTTAAAAACCATTTCAGGAACCCCAAAGAGGTGCAAACTTTGGTGTCAAAATGAGAGAAATCCTTCACATTCAAGGGGGTCAATGTGGGAATCAAATTGGGGCCAAGTTTTGGGAGGTGATCTGTGATGAGCATGGGATTGATCAGACAGGGAGGTACAATGGAGATTCAGATCTTCAATTGGAGAGGATTAATGTGTATTACAATGAAGCAAGTGGTGGAAGATATGTGCCACGTGCTGTTCTTATGGATCTTGAACCTGGCACCATGGATTCAGTCAGATCTGGTCCTTATGGACATATTTTTAGGCCTGATAACTTTGTTTTTGGCCAATCCGGTGCTGGTAATAACTGGGCTAAAGGGCATTACACTGAGGGAGCTGAATTGATTGATTCTGTCCTTGATGTTGTCAGGAAAGAAGCTGAAAATTGTGATTGCTTGCAAGGTAATTTTTTTTTAAAGATGTCCTTTTTTCGTGCCATTTGTGTCGTTTTGATTGAACCCTTATGAGTTTTGCTTATTTTGCTTGTTTGATATTGCATTGGGTGGGTTTAATGCTGTGAGAAATGGCTTTTGGTTGTTTTGATTGGATATATCTATTTTTTTTAATGGTTTTGGTTAGTTTGTTAGAATACAAAGAATACAAGTGGGTTTGATTGGATCTGGTCTTATATTCAGGTTTTTTGAGATTTTTCTTGGTGCCGTTGATTTTTTGTATTATGAAAATGAGGGGCTTTTCATTTTTATTTTGTTTAGCACGCTGGGAAGCTAAATGTGTGTTTATGGTGGTGCCTCCATGACTTGTTCTTTCATGGTGTTCAATGACATCGTAATGCTGGACTAAATCCTGTTTTCTGGTTTTGCTCACTGCTCCGTATGCTAGGCTAGTTCTGAATTTTTTTTGGCTGGAAACTTGTGTCGTTGGTTTTCACAACTGATAACAGATAATGAGAAAATGATCTTCCTGGACTTGAAGTGTGTAACAAGGTCTATTTAGATTCAAGTGTGGTTAATACTCATGGTTGGAAGTTTGGTTTCTATCTTTTTCATGATTTGGTTTTTGTTTGCAATTTTCTCTTAAATTTGTGGTCATTTGATTGGTGTACCATTATTGTTGTTTCTCTTAAATTTCAGTTCTATTTAGAACTGCCCTTTCTCATTGATGCTACATTTTTAGTTTTCCTGTCTGTTTTCAAGAATCATTTAATATATTTGGTGGAACAGGATTTCAAGTCTGCCATTCATTGGGTGGAGGCACCGGTTCTGGCATGGGAACTCTTCTTATTTCTAAAATTCGTGAAGAGTATCCTGATCGCATGATGTTGACATTTTCTGTCTTCCCTTCACCTAAGGTATCTGACACTGTTGTTGAACCATACAATGCAACTCTTTCTGTCCACCAGCTTGTAGAAAACGCTGATGAATGCATGGTTTTGGACAATGAAGCTTTGTATGACATCTGCTTCCGCACTCTCAAGCTTGCTACCCCCACTTGTAAGTTAATTGAAAGTGCTTTCTGTGAACTGAAAGACATAATTTAAAGATGTTAAATCTGGAATTAATTAAAATAACCATCTGGCTTTTTCTACCTAAAGATTGAAAATGAATGTTGAGATGGGCGACAATAATAAAATGCTTAGTTCTTAGTTGGTTGCTTACTTCTCGTTCTCATTGGTGGTTGATAGGGAATTGATTGCTTATGACTTCTTATTTTTTATTGGTATTTATATCCACATGCTTTGCTGTCTCTCCTTGCCTCTAACCTAGACAACCACCACCCCCTATGCCCCACAAATAAAGATGACAACAACAACTTCTATTGTGCAGTTTGCTGTTTGCTGTTCACTTAGTCTTTTTCCCTCTCTTCCAGAATATGCATTATCTTGAGCTCAATTTGATCACAGATAATACACATGTAATACGTACGAACAGATGCATGATGTCTACATGAACATGCCCAAACTCATGCATGCATGTTCCATGTGAGGTTTTGAAGCAACATGATCTGACTCTGGTACCTTATGTTTTGTTTTGCCATATCCCAGTTGGGGATCTTAACCATCTCATTTCTGCCACCATGAGCGGTGTCACATGCTGCCTTCGCTTCCCAGGACAGCTGAACTCCGACCTGCGAAAGCTCGCAGTTAACCTAATCCCATTCCCTCGTCTTCATTTCTTCATGGTTGGATTTGCACCCTTGACATCAAGAGGATCACAGCAATACCGTGCTCTGACTGTGCCTGAACTAACCCAGCAAATGTGGGATGCCAAGAACATGATGTGTGCTGCTGATCCACGTCATGGCCGTTATCTAACTGCTTCAGCCATGTTTCGTGGTAAGATGAGCACTAAAGAGGTCGATGAACAAATGATAAATGTCCAGAACAAGAACTCTTCATACTTTGTTGAGTGGATTCCCAACAATGTCAAGTCCAGTGTCTGTGACATCCCACCGAAGGGTCTGAAGATGGCATCCACTTTCATAGGGAATTCAACCTCAATCCAGGAGATGTTCAGGCGTGTCAGTGAACAATTCACAGCTATGTTCAGGCGCAAGGCTTTCTTGCACTGGTACACTGGCGAGGGAATGGACGAGATGGAATTCACCGAGGCTGAGAGTAACATGAATGATCTGGTTGCTGAGTATCAACAATACCAGGATGCAACTATCGATGAAGAGGAGTATGAGGAGGAAGAGGAAGAGGAACATGATGCTTAAGATAGCTTGAAATTCTTTTCACTATGTCTGAAGTATGTATTTCCCTGGCTCTATTTAAGTGAGTGATTTGTTTCTCATTTGGGGGTCAAGCTAGATTGACTTGCTGATGTATGGGTTGTGGTTCCTTGTATTAAAGATGGGATTTCGTGACTCCTTTTGCTTTTAAATTTGAATGATGGGTGTCTTGTATTTAGTAGACGAGTGTTTGGTCATCTATCACTTCAACTTGTAGCATTTTTCCTTGGATTAATTTGTGTGATAGGCATGGTTTGGCATTATAAATGCCATTAGTGTTGCAAGGTGGGAATTGTAATTTTGTTTCCTATTTGCGTGTATATCTTTAGTTTTTCTATTTGAATGTTTGTATCTTTGAAACCTTGCAATGAGTGCTTTTAATTTTGAAATCTAACAAGTATCAACTTCGATCATATGTGATCAAATTAATTAAAATTAAAAATTAGAACAACAAAACAACTGAACAATTTATATATATTAAAAGAACACCAAACTTTCGTTCCTTTTTTTTTTAAAAAAAAAAAAGTCGTGGAGACCATAACCGACTAGATAAGATAATGAAAAGGAAACAAAAAATAGAGGGTTTATGGACAGCCAGATGCCAACCAGAGCCAGTAGGATCTCCAACATAAAAATCTTGCAACGGGCTAGGATCGAAGGCAGTGGCCAGGGCACAAATGATGCCTAGAAAACTTGCAGTAGCCAACAATTTTGTGGCTAGCCATATCAATTCTTTGGGGTAATACAGAGAGACTGGTAAACTACGTACAGCATTGATCATTGATGTAGTATGTACGCAGGAACTCTTTTTTTTTTTTTAATTATAATGTGAGTGCACATATTTTAATTAATTTTATGAACTTTAAAATTAATGATTATATAAATTTTTAATAATTATTATATTAAAAATTATAAGACTGGAACTTGAAATTATAAAAGAAACAAACTTTCTCATCCTGAATTCTTACCACTGGCCGTACCCTATATGTATGCAGGAACTCTTCCTATACATGGCGATGGATCGACAGTCCAAGAATTTAGTCTTCGAAGGAAACTTGCTGCCGTCCAAAGCCCGTGTCTTTTGTTGAAAGAGTCCAATGAGTTGAATAATTATGGTTTTTGCACTGTGGAATGAGTTGTTCCTTGCTTATTAAAATATGGAATAATTATCCAAGACAAGGCTGGTAGATTACAACATGCACCAAGAATAATAAGAACAAGGAAATGCCAGTGAGTTGTTCCATGCTTATTAATATATGGAATAATTTTATTTTCTGGCAACTCTTTTATTACAAACTTGTGAAAGTAACACTAACCATGCATGAACAAGGAAAATTCAGAATTTAACTGTGGAACTGTGCTTTAAGTTTCTCAACAATGGACTTGTCGACATTATAAGCCTTGGCTAGAACATCATCACCAATGGGTGGACTGGTTCCAAATATATTGCTAGGAATAGCAATAAAACCAGGGTTCTGGCTGTTCAAAGAAGCAATAGCAGCAGCAGTTCCGTTGCCTACATTGCTCAAGAAATGAGCAAGCCCTATGGGAAAAACAAAGACATCTCCCTGCTCAAGGACCTTGGAAAAGAGCCTGTTTTCCGGTGAAGAGGACACAAACCCAACAAGGAGGCTGCCTTCCAAGACGGTAAGAATCTCACTCGCCCGAGGGTGAATGTGAAGAGTGACGAGACCACCATGTGCGAAGTCAAAGCGAATGAGTGTGAGCCCAAGGGTGTTTAGGCCCGGTATTTGGGCGACAGAAGCTGAGGTAACAGAGGAGCCAGAGGGGTTTGATGTGTTGCCAGGAACATTGAAGCCTCCAGAGAAAAAATTGTCAGGCTTTACCAGCTTCGGATCCCGGCAAGCTAGGCCACAATCACAAAAGAATATGTTAGTGGGAGTACTCACCAGACACCAAAATGAACATTCATGAGAATTACTATCCCATGGCTTCCTACAAAATCCCTACTTGATAATATACGGAAAAAAACTCAATGTGATAATTAGTTTGTCCAATCCGGATAACATGTAATTGTATTTTTTTTATTTAACGATGAAGAAATATTCTCGAATCATTTTTTTTAAAATTTTTTTTAGACAATTTTAACACATTCTTTACATCAGTCTGTTTGCAGTAATTTAAATTGAATTGGATTAATTTTTTTTAAAAATAAAATCTCATGTTTGGAATTTTTTTCTTGAGTATTAAGAACTAAATTCCAAATAAATTGAATTTTATATATTTTAAATATATAAACTTAATTTAAATCAAACACTATAATTAAATTTAATTACAGTAAAGAATTTGGTTTCTAACATGATGTAATAATAATAAAATCAGAAAAACTTAATAAAATTTTTAAAATACTGCTCTCAAAGTTTGAAATTACGCCACCCTTGTATATCTTGGACCAAAATTTATGAACGTGACTCGAATGCAAAATAGATTGAAATAACTTAAACTAAAATGAAAGCATAATTAATTTGTTGAATATGATTAAAGCTAATTAATTGCAGTGTGATTTTGAGTAAGTCAATTAGAACCCCACCTGAGCTAGCAGGATCTGCAACACAGAAATCTTGCAATGGACCAGGCTCAATGCCGGCAGCGGCCAGGGAACAGGAGATGGCTAGCAAACTAACAATCACCAAGATCTGGGAAGCCATTTGGATTGCTTGGGGTTGGAGAATGTTGAGGCAGAAACAGTGTGACTGGAGATTTGAGTGTTGTTTTTTCAAGGACTAACATGTATAGTGAATTTTGAAGGGTAGATATGGATTTATTTTTAATTCTTTACTATTTAAGAAATATCGATGCATTAGGTGGGAATAAATTTGTTGGCTAAAAAAATAAAACCTCAGATTCGAATAATTTGGAAAGGGAAATGAAATTCAGTAGTCAAATTTTCTAATGGATATTATATATTAAAAGAGAGAAAGAAATCAATTATATTTATAATAAGATAAATCAATTAATTCCTTGAACTTCTCTAACAAATCCTAAGATTTATCTCCATTATTTTTTGTTTGATTCTTGTGTGTAAAGTCAAGATACTTTCCAATAATTAAAACCCCCTCAAAGCTGTCCTTGTGTTTGTAAAACATGCCATAAAATAATTATATAAATAGCTATTTCAATAAATTGGTCTATTTTATATATAAAAAAAATTAAATTGTAGAACACCTTTGAAAATGATACTGGGAGAAATTAATCCATCAATTCTAATGTTTTCAATATTTTTGGTTTAACAAATGGCATAAAAATATATACAAAATAAATAAAAATATACATGGTTAAAAAGACATAAATATAAAATAAATTGTACCTTGAATAGTTTTAATTTTTTTTATATTTTTAAAACATGAAATATATATAAAAAATATCTATTCTATTTTTATCATCTCTATCTATTTTTATCTCAAAATAGTAATTTAACACTACCTAATATTTCTCCTCCTTTCAAATGATATGATATTCAACCATTTTTCATGATAAAATGAATAAACCAAGCATGGCACCATGCATGTGCTCAGGATGACTCCCTGTTTATTACTTAGTACTTGTAGTTTATTTAAAATAAATAGCTAGTCCTTGTAGTTTTAGAAACTATATATTTAATCTCTATGTTTTTAAATTCATTTAAAATTTAACCATTTTTCCATCTCATGCTCGTTCTCAACTTGTTTTGATTTTTTTTTTATTTTTAAAAAAGAAAAAAGAAAAAAAGAATTAGATAGGATGAACGAATTTTTTAGTACAAAATTCTATTATGGTCAACCCTAATTAAAGGACCATTTAATCATTTTTTATATTATAGAAATTAATTGATTTATTTTATTAAACTACAAGAACTTAATTATAATTAACATTTGATTGTGGTCAAGCTCCTTAAAAACCTTTCTAGAACATGCCAAATAAAAAAATAAAATTTTTATTTGGACTCTTAGCGGCAAGATCAAGCAAGGAGATTGCAGTCATCACTGAATTATTATTTTATTAATTATTATAAAATAGATTATTTTACGTTTATAAAATAGATTTCCACAATCATAACGGATCTCGTATAAATTAATGCTATAACTGATGTTAGGATCACATTCGATTATTGTTTAAAACATATAAAATATATACAAAATATATTTAATTAAAAAGATGAAGACATAAACATAAAATAAATTGTATTTTGAATAATTTTAAATGAATTTTTATATTTTTAAAATTAGAAATTATATGAAGATATGTTAATTCTATTCCTATTTTCTCTGTCTTTTCTATCTCGAATGGTAATTCAACGCTACTTCTCCTCTCAAATGCTATGACATTCAACCATTTTTCATGATAAATGAAGAAACCAAGCTTTGACTTGCGCAATAACTTGGAACACATGACTCTGCATATGCTCATAATGACTGCGATAAGCATTGCTCTAAACTTCCATGTCTGAATACTTTTCAACTTAGATTAGGTAGGTTCTTCGTCGTGTTGATAGGAACAGAACAATATTTAAAAGCCAAAACATGAATAATGGTCAAACTTAAATTATATGGTTCCTCAATTACTGATCAAAATAGTTTATAACTCCCACTTGCTGTTGACAAGAAGCTGATCAGTTCGCCTAAATAAAGTCCATCTCTTGCAGGTTCCCCATGCTCAAAAAACAATGGAGATGGCTTCTCTAAACTCTTCCTTGTTGCCATTATTGTTTATTCTTCTCTCATCTTTCTCATGGTTAACCCTAGCCCATCCCCACGAGGATTTTCTTCAGTGTCTTTCCTTTCATTTTCAAGACTCCACCGCCATTTCTAAGCTCATTTACACCGTAAGAAGCTCCTCGTATTCTTCTGTCTTGCAGTTCTCGGTTCAAAACCATCGGTTCAATACAACCTCTGATCCAAAACCTGCAGTAATCTTTACGCCAACGAATGTATCCCACGTTCAGGCTGCGATTTATTGCTCCCGAAAGCAAAACTTGCATATTAGAATTCGGAGTGGTGGCCATGATTATGAGGGCCTTTCTTATGTATCGTATTCACTCCCATTTGTGATCGTTGATCTAATCAATCTTCGAAAAGTCGCAGTTGATGCAAGGCATAAAACTGCATGGGTCCAGGCTGGTGCATCTCTCGGCGAACTTTACTATAGAATTGCTGAGAAGAATAGAACTCTTGCCTTTCCAGCAGG